GGAAAAATATAGTAATATTTGTTGGAACAATACTTATTACATTTGCAATTAATCATTTCAAGTTATATTTCCAAATTTTATAATATCGAAGCTGGATTTTTGTTAGCAAGGTTTATTTGTTCATTTTATTTACATCTCAAAATAAGTCAAGATTGAAATTTAACTTTGAAAATTGGACACTTCATATCTTTTTATAACAATTTGAAAGGATGACACTTAAGAGAATTTCAAAATAAACAATTTTTTCGGCTAAAAATTGGGCTTACTAAATAAAAGAATGGGATAAAATGAGAGGAAAAAAGAAAATGAATAATTTGAATAATATTGGACGAAAAGAGAAAATGTGAATGAAAAGTAATTTTTAAAAAAAAAGTTTGCTAATTAATTATAAAAGTTATAATTTATAGCAATAAATAATGAGGATTAGATTAATAAAAATGTAATATTTTTAAGATGATTCTTAGCTAAAAAATGAAATGAAACTGAAATTATTACTGTATGAGTTTAATCGTTTCTTTTCAACCGTAACGGAAATGAAATCAAAGTTTCATTTATCGAACAATATTGATAAGATTGATTATAATGAGTTAAAAAGTGAAATATTGAAATATTTCATAATTAAATTTTAGATTAAAATCATTTGAATTAAATAATTTTCTAGCATTGTATTTTAACTGATAACTTTAAAATTATTTCGAAAAATTACTAAAACAGGCCAGAAGTAATGGAATTATGAAAGTTGTCGGCATATCTTCCAATATCGACTCATAAATGTCGATGGAACAAGTGAATGATTGTTTGTTAAGGTTATCATGGCAAAAAAAAAAAATTGATAACAAAGTACAGTGTCCCAAAAGTCAACGTTGGAGACATTTGAGAGAGATGCTTTCTAATTTTTATTTGAAATTAAAAATTTCGAAGATTATTTAAAACTTCTAACCTAAATTTATATACAAAAGTTTTGAAAGCATTAGAAATAGGTGTATTTAAATGGAAATTATAGACATTTTCAAGGTGACTTTATTTGCTAATTAAATAGCAACAATTGAAATGTTATTCAAATGAATCAATTGATCATTTCATAATTTTGCTTTCCTAATAAAAACATTGAGAAAGCAGAAAAAAGAAGCGCAATATGTTTTGAGAACATATTGCGCTTTTCGCCTTTTATGAAATAATAATTAATGAAAAGTTTTTACAAGAAAAAAATTTAAATAATATTTTCAGGTAAAATATAATAGGTATGTCTAAAATTGCATTTTATCAATCATTTTATTTTATAATAAATCGTCGTATTTTTCCAAAATTGCAAATAAGAAAGATATCTTTAATAAATTTAAAAATTTGAAAGATTTTAATATGTCATATTTGAATGGATGGCAATTTTTCGATAATATTTCAAAATTTGTATTGCTGTATTGAATATTAATAAG